AGCCTTTCACCCTGCTCATGCCATTCCATTCCGCGGGTCCCGATGTGGAGCGTCTCAGCCGTTCTTCTCGGGTCAGTCTTTTCCGCAGAAGAACGGCTGACCTTGTCCCGATGTGGAGCTTTTCAGCCGTTCTTCTCGAGTCAATCTTTTCCGCAGAAGAACGGCTGACCTTGAAAAAGGTGTGGTCTTCTCTGTAGAGCCTCTCCAGTTCCATATGAAACGCTTCCAGCTCCTCTTCTTCCTAGCTTGATGTTAGTGCGTAGGCAGCAAAGATGGTTAGAACTGGGGTTAAACCATACCTTTTTGATCATCCGATTCGGAATGATAGCTTCCGTACGAATCGATGTTCATGGCCTAGTACGTGGTGACGAGGACACCCACACCTCTACTATCGCATGTTCCAAGGAACAGTTCTTCTCCAGTTTCAGATACAGCGTGCAGCGGGCGGTGCCTGATGTCAGTCCGATGAAGTCGTACTTGATCTTCCTAGCTTGCACCGACAGATCCTCTATACGTGCTTTCGATGTAAGCGGCCGTGTGTTGAAAGTACAGATCGTGGGTTCTATTTGAGATTCCGGTGTACCCCAATAATAGCCAAGATTTAGGATGTTACATATAAGAGATGGCTACCGAAGCTACACTCCAGTCAAAACTCATGTTGCGTGCCTTTCAAACTCGGGATCTTCAGCTCTGATTCAGACTGTTCGTCATTTATGTGAGACCATTTCTTTAGTATTGTACTCCTGCATGGACGCCTTACAAAGTATCTTAATTCATGAAAATTGTGCAGGTGAAAGCAAGTAGCAGGTGCGAGCAAGTGCACTTGCTGTATTTTCGTATAAAATACAATTTGTGACCCGCTTTACCCTTCTTGAATCATCAACGTGAGAGGAACGCACAAGGATTGCCGACCACCTGTTTCGCCTGCATCCGTTTGCTACCACCACTAAAGCCAGCCTTGCCCAGGCTCTGCCTAGGTGGTACAAATGATTTATTTAGTTGTTTTGTTAGAATATTTACCTTGCGTACATGAATTGAATAATATAAAATGAAACTGAGCCTGATAAAAAACGTGAGCGATAGTAGCGAACTAATAACGAACATAACGACAACAAAAAAAGAAGAAAACAAAAATAAATAGTATATGTAAGGTGAGGAGAACTAAAAGAACTAAAGTGTGGCCAACCTCCAGAGTAATGTAAAGCATGATATTTGAAAACAACCCGCTAAACGTACAACTTGTTAATGCTATTTTTCAATTCTAAGATGCTTCTAAACACGGCAAACTTTTTGATTAACTTATCCAAGGTAGCCCGTGCTTCCAAGAGATTCCAAGAACGGGACTCGAAGAGATTCGCTTTCCCCTTGAACAACATTAGTAACGAACTTTTCAAAGTTAAGAATGCCTCAGATTTCAAGTTTGCTTCAGCGAAAATTGCTTATCCGTTGGGGCCAGATCTCAAAATGAAGTAAAGCAATTGTTATCATTTCATCGCGTCTTCATTTGATTATTGCCAGCCTATTTGCACAGCAAGCGAGCCAGTATTGTTTTGTTTTTTCTGTATCTTTCCGCGCAATCATTCGCTCGCACACTTACTACTCTCACATCAGTTACTTCTCCTCGTGGGCCTGGAGCAAGATTGATTGGGGTACGGAATACCCACTATGCGAGAATCTAGCTGAGTGGTTCAACATGCATGTCCCTGTGCTCTTCTCGACCTATGTTATCCTTAGCATCATCCACGCTTCACTCACTCCATAAACTTGTAAAAAGCAGGAGTCGTGCTTACCTGCACTTTGCCTTGGTTTGAGTTTCTCGTTGTCTAATAAGACCACCAGCTCCCAGGATCTATTAGTCTACTGCAAGGCTATATCATACTCTAGACTTGTCTCCACTTTTCCTTTGAATATTGCCTTTTTGTTCTGCTTGACTTTCTTTTTTTCTGCTTTTACCTAGTACTTGTCGCCCTCTTTCATGCGCGCGGCACCAGATCATTCTATGTACTGTTCTGTTTCTCTTCTGCCGCATCCGGGCCCGCTTTTGTGAGTGTAATCGTCCCTATATATAGAGCGCTAACTTTGTGTGTCTGTTTGTATACTCGTTTGTGTGTCCTTCCAAACGTCACGTAGGCACGATCAAAGGCGTGAAGATCACAAGAGCGCGGTGAGAAAACAGTTATGAGATGGAAAGTCAACCGATGCTATTTATATTGGTCCACCCACGACGTAGCACAAGCAAACCCTTAGGAACTAGAAGAGGTTAGAATGGAAACAATTCCACGATCTCGTGGCGTAGTAATTTCCACGTTCGGTCTTCTTGAAACCTGGGCATGTCACATAATGTTTTTACACTGTTTTGCCGTACAGGTTTGTTATGATGAAACCGCTTTATTAGGTCGACCTTTTGAACAACTCGTCGTCTTGAAGGACCTGAAAGTAGTTCGGAGCTCCTGACCTGTGACTTACCCGACCAAGCGCCCAAACACGCTGGGCCAGTTGCAACAACTCCCAGAAACTTGATCACTGAGAGATTCCAGCGAAGAAACCAACCTTCTGCGGTTTCACCAGCGTTGCCGTCCCACTCGATGCCGTGACAATAAGGGACTAATGAGACACCATCGACGATCGTGATACAAGAATAACGCGGTGATCTCAAAGCCCACAAAAGGGAATGAATGGTAGAAGTTCACTCGTTATGGCAATGCATTCATTTCGGCTGTTCAGCTTAGGATTTCTCTCGCGGATGTGCAACGCTTCCAATATCTTTCTGGCACCGATCTCATTCTCGTAGGCTAGGATTTTGCATTTAATATCAAAATCATCGCCCTGATGTTCTTCTAGTCGATGCCTTCCAAGCGGCGTGAGTAGGCTTCCACGCCTTTTGCCCGCTAGATGTTCTTTGACGCGTATGCTCAACATCCTTCCCGTCTCACCAGTATATATTCCGTCACAAGCTGGACACTGAAGTTGATACACTGTTCCTCGCTGTGTGCAATCTCCATCTCTTCCAAAAGGACAAATAACGCAGTTATCCGCCGTGCACGTACGATCATGAAGCCTATTGCGGATTAGATTATTAGGAACGTCGATCTAATAAAGCGGTTTCATCTTAACAAACCTGTACGGCAAAACAGTGTAAAACAATTCCACGATCACCTATTAGTGTCAAGAGATCGACACCCACAAAGCGGCATCAGATCGTTCAAATTGGGGAATATCGCCTTATTCTTATACACCAAACATCCTTCTGGCTATTCACCTTCGTGCTACATTCCTATACTCTGGACGATTCATCTATCCGTTCGCAGCCAACTGAGAGAGGAGAGAGGTTAGGCTTCGGATGTAAAAAAACCTTTTGCTCGCGAAGGACTTTTACCGAAAACACCTCCGGTTCCAGACTGGAAGCGTAATTTTCCATAGAAACGTGATCGGAAATCCATAAAATCCATAGAAGACTAATCTGATCGAAACTTTTAATTTTAGATGCGCACTACAAAGAATTATCCACTTCCTAATATTTCAGTAGCTAGATGAAGGTTTTCAAAAATTGGAACTTAGGCGAAATCTATACAACATCTCATCATATGTGAAGCGCTTGCGTCTAATTGTTTGTTTGTTCGTTCAATTGTACAGAAATTCGATATTACCTTAAGAAGCACCAGCATAAGTGGGGTCAAGATTGCGATGGGTTGGGCGTAGGGCAAGACCAAAAGAACACATTTTAACTCAGCAAAGCTCCTTCTTCAAGGGTGGGACATGCACGGATTGGGTGATGTCATGGGCAAAACTTCCTCACTTTAGGCAAAGCGCTCGCGTCTGTCTATCCGTCCGTCTGTCTGTGTGTTTGTACGGAGATTCACAACTCCTGTCCCCGTAGACCTACGATGTTCAATTTTGGTAGGAGCACAGGCGGCAGGATGGGAACACATGTGATGGGTGGCAGGACCGGACTCCGCCTACAGGGGGCGGGATGCGTGCGAAATAAAGGTTTTAGCGGAAAGTCATAACTCCTATCCCTGTGAACCTAGAAAGTTCAAATTTATTATAAGGTATTCTGTGCTCTAAAATCCCTCTATATATAAAGCGGTAACTTTGTGTGTCTGTTTGTGAGTCGGTTTGTGCGTGTCTTTGAAAGTCACGTAGGTACGATGAAGAGCGTGAATGTCACGTGAGCACGGCGAGGAAAGAGTTATGAATAGGGTAGTCAACCGATACTGTTTAAATTAGTCCTCTAACAAGTCGTAGGTAAGCAGTAGTGGGCATGGCATGGTACACGCGTTAGTCTGCATAGCCCAACCGATGTATGAATGAAACAAGTTGTATAAAGGACAGCTTATAGTTTCACGGCTCCGATATTTACTGAACGGCTCACTAATTTGTACGAGTGTGTGCTGATAAACTATGCATAAAAGCCATAAACAAGGGAGGGCGAGCTGGGTGTCTGTGGTACAAGAGCTAAAGAACAAGGTATCCGGAAAGTACAAATATGGGTTGGAATCCCATTTAAGATCGAAGTTTTGCCCTCATTCCACCAACGTTGTGAGGTTAGCGGAGGACTGCAAAAGAGAATTTCTTGTCATTCGAAAAGTTAGGTATTCGTTGAATCGAAGAAAATAATTAATGAAGCGACGATATTGCTTAAGGAACGAAATCACAGAGAAATACTCGAGATGGTTTGTAAAATCATGCAAGTCATTACTGTATGTGAAAAATCCCTGCTCTCCGAGAGGAAAAGGCAAATCCATGCTGTGATTCATCAGAAGGTTTCTTTAAGGGAGTGCTGACTAAATTATCGTGCATAGTAATTTGCAACTGAGATGCTTTGAAAACTTGAGACTATTCTATACACGTGCAAGTGTCTCAAAGTTGAGCCCAACTTGGAGAAGAACCGCAAAGTTGATTTCAATGGATAATCACTACTACAATGCCGCTTAGCCCTAGTTTGTTCATAGGTGTGCTCCTTCCAGTCTGGAGTACGAATCCTTCATTGGTTCTTCTGCCCATTCCTGAAGTCGAATGGCAAAGGCAGTCTTGTTAGTATGATATTACGAAGTGGCAAATTTTCAACAAGTTGAAGACAGTTGTAGACAGTTGACAGGCATTTTAAAGGGCATTTTCGTTTTTGCCGAGATAATTTTGAAATCAATCGACCAATCGACTTTGACTGGGGTTGAATATCTAGTATTCCACTGTGGTTTGTTCTCTTTCAGAGTCGTTCGAGAATAAGCACTTTAGCACTCGTTCATTATCTGGAAACAGAGAGAAGAATTTTCAGCAAGTATCAGCAGCACTGCGATGCACTACAACTACGACGATAGGTTGAACAGAATGCAGAGACGTGCCTTGCGGTTTACATGGCATCGGCTCCAAACGAGAAATGGAGGGAAACGAGTAGAAAACGTTCTTGAAGAGGTAAATAGAAAAAACCGATGAAGGAATATCGGAAGTACGATTTGAAGCATCGAGCCTCTCCATTACGCCCATTATGCAATGATTTTTATGTTCCGATATGAATCGTCGTTACGAACCCAGCGGTTCCCCTTGAAGCATTCACAAGCGATTACGTCCACATTTTGTGACGAACAAAAGTGATCAGATAATACCACTTTCTGTTTTTTTATGCGCGGAGAAGCTTCTCGTTTATACTGGAATTGAGAAATCATTCATGCTTAGGTGGAATGTGTCAATGATTCGCTATGAAGTTGTTATTGTATTGAAAGGTATGAAGTCAAATTTTCTCTAGCCAAATACACCGCTATATATACCTTTATCAACCTTATCGGACAAGAATGTTTTTCATGTCAGGTGTTCGATCGCATGGTACGAGCTTTGCCATCAGCGAAAGATATGTTCACAACAAGAATGTTTCTCTGTGCAATGTCAAAAAATGAAACAGCTTCGCTTAGAGATCATGCAAAGGTGAGTAACAGGCATCACAAGGCAACAGCTTTCCATCTTCTCTTCTTGTTTTTTCGATCCGTTTTCCAATTTGTGTGGAAGCGCCTTATCACCATCCGGTTAGACCATCGCAATGATCAGAAGAAGGGCCATTGCTCATTCATTGGAGGTGATTTCGGATCTTCCCCCTGATTCTTCATAGTCACCATAAGGCAAGCGTTTTGATCAAGGGTACTAACCATGCACCAACATAGTTATCACAGGTGAATGAAAGTGTAAAGCAACACAGTACACTAAGAGGGAACAGCCTTCATAGTAAATACTTGCTTCGTACTCCTTTTTTGCCACCTGGAACCTTGCCCCGTAGATGACTATTAACAGGTAATTTTCATAGTCATTAGAAGGAAAGCGTTTAGATCAAGGGTACCAACCATGCACCAACATGGTTATCACAGGTGAATGGAAGTGTAAAGCAACACAGCAGACTAGGAAGGGATAGCATGACAGTGTAAAAAGTCCTTTATTGGAGAAGATTCGCGGGAAGGGTGGATGACACTGCAAGTTGTACACCCTTGCCAACTACAATAAGCATGGACTAAACTACATTGTATTTTTCCTTCTAACCTGTTCCCATTTGTTTATCTATTCAATAACTATGTAAGCATACTGCTGACTAACTCGTTGCAAGCGTTTAATTTTGTGACTATTGTCAGCAGCTCTCAATTGGTTAGTTGCAAACTTCTTTTCATTACATGAAAGAAACCACTTTTGTTTTTGGGCGCGAAAGGTGGCCAAAGAAACCTCGCCAAGGCTTCTTTAGAGGTTTTTGGCAGAGATGAGGCGGTAAGAAACACGTTCCTATCTTCACATGAAGCAAGTTAAGTACTTGTTCAGAGAGAAAAGTCCGCGCATCTTGCCACTCAATGCAGTTACACAAAACGTTTCCTCTAAGAAAACTTGATTTCTTGATGGGCAGCTGAGTTAAATTTTTTCCAACAAAATTATAATAGTGGTACTCTAGTTTGCCAGTCTACAAAGTTGAGAAGGAATGTGGAAGTTGAATAGTTGACATTCTGCAAAAAATCTTGTCTGTAGAACGGTCAGTTCTTGGAAGAGGATGTAGCTTTTGAAGCTTGAGTCTTTCTTTGGTTATTCATTTTAAGATTGATTAGTTTGCAAAATAACATTATTGTGACCGATTTTTAACAGGAAGACGAGTAGAAGAAACGTTCTTTTGAGTTTCCATTAAGAGGAGAGGGGTTAATTTGTACCCTCTGAACGTTAAAGGAAGAAACATGAAGGAGGAAACGGAAGCAAGGAACAAAAAAACCAATGTAGCGATTGACTGCGAGTTTTCAGTTGACGATTATAAAGGTTACGGTAAAACACGAGGCCTAGAAAGACCAGCTCTAGTTGTGAAGTGTGAGCAGGTGCAGCTCCATCTCCAGATGGCTTGGGCATCTTGCGTCCATCTCTTCCCGGGATAACTTGCCGCTGGAGTCTTCGATGTTCCTTTGATCCTGATCCTGATCTTTACTTATTGTGACCCGAGAGACGACTAGTATATTCCTTCACTGGAGTGGACACAAAAAATGAACCATACACAAACAGAGCACTCTTTTATAATAGGGCATTACAGGGTGCGCCATAAATATGGTAACAACTTTTCGGAGGTCCGAGATTTTATTGTTCGGAGGGTTTCTCCAAATCTGCACTTTCCCTTATGTTTATGATATACCTTAGGCTACATTTCTAATTTGGTGCTCTTGAATCGTCAGATTTTGAAAAACGGCGGAGCTTCGCAGTCATCCACCAACAGTTCCGCCTTTGCGCGCATTTGGTGAGTTCTTTTCCTGGATCGCTCCTCGTTTGAACGTCCTTTACAAGACAGTCTTTCGAATCGCGATGCGTAGACGGGTTAACGGCAAACCTCAAAACGTTCGACTTGTCTCACATTCGACACCTTTTCCGTATACAATTAATGGGGAAGGAGTACGCGGCGGAACCTGCAGGAACACGAGAAAAATAACTGCTGATTTGTTTGTATGTTCTTATTCGTTGGAAAGATTCTATCCAGAGTATACACAATTGTATAAGATTCGAAAGCCCTTTGAGCTCCTCGACTAGAAGAAGTTGGAGAGAAAAAACAAATGCCGTGCGCTACCTACGCGCGGCACGCGCTTCGACAAACCTTCTCTTGACTAAAGGGTTTCAGCACGGAAGTAATGTCGAGACCTCAAAGTAAAGATATGTTTCACATTTAGAGTGCCTAAGCCGCTGAGAAGAGTCAGATCGTCTCTCATGGCCATTTTCCCTCTTTGATGACAGATTCTGCTGGAAACTTTACCATCAGAGCGATATTGCAAATTTTGATCGGAAAAAGTTCAAAATTTAATACAAAACTATTCAAGAAGGATCCTTCTCAAAGAATACAGCTGAGGGTCAAAGAGTTTTTGAGGGACACAATTTGAAAACTGTGGCGCACCTGCTCACGAATAGGAAAAGATAAGACTGGTGTTGAGAAAGTGTTCGCGACTTAATCCCAGCTTCCAATCCTCCTACGAATTTCCCGGATCACAGTGTGATGGGTTACTGGACATAAGTTCATACTGGAAAGAAAAGCCTATGCTTCATAACGCACCACTGCTGCTGCTCATAAGCGACCATTGAAGAGGTCCCAGGCTGGAGTTTTGCAGGAAACTCTGCGTGCCGCCATGGATGAGTAGCCAAAGCATCTTTGAGCTATAGCTGTACATAAGACGGTTATAAGATGACCGTGTGTTTATTTTGAAGATGTGATGCATAGTAAATAATTCACATAAATTCACCACTGCGTTTTTTGCGGCCCATTTCTTCGGTTACCATATTTATGGCGCACCCTGTACTTTCGAAATGCCAAGAAAAACAGATAACATTAGTAGATTGAGCACCCTAACTTCATTGCAATTTTTTAAGCGGCATTTCTATGCGATAACATTGATGCTTCGTGCTGCCGACATAGGACTGTCCGCGAGTGCGGTGTTTAGGAACGTCAGGTGCTCTTCGGGTGTGTGGCGATTCGTGCGATTCTGGGTGCGCGCGGCAAATTGCGCGGCGAAATTCGGTGCGATCTGGACGGCTGCAGCGTTTATCATTGGGGCCCAATTTTGAAGTAAGGTGTGTTAGTAGGATAGTCTGACCCTACTAAAGTACTCTACTTCGAGTTCGTGCTTCAATGATAGGAGCCAGAGTTGTTTGAATCATGGCGAATTCCGCCGCGCAATTTGCCGCGCGCACCCAGGATCGCACGAATCGAACGTCCCCCGAACTCTCCCGGTGTATTCTATGTTTTGGATGATACACCAACTAATCCATCTAACATCTTGATCCAGAAGCGATTTCTTCCACCTGTCCATCACCCCAATTTCATCATTTGGCTCGTTAGGTACCTCCAAGGAAATGCCTGTCAGATGCCCGCTTTTTGCCCGTAAACTTTTGATACTCTACACTGTTTTGTCGTTTGCTCAATAGCTGGGATGACTGTCGGATGCCTTCCTAGAATCGTTATCAACCATCTTGTGAATTTTTCAGTGGCGAAAGATGCACCGCATTACAAAGCCTAGGTTGTTGCTAGACCAATATATTTTCTTTATGAACGCGTATCACTCCTGCTTCACATCCGTTGAATTCTTTAGAACCCACCAGATTCTGCCAATGTGCTTTTGAAATTTTTCGCATAGCATTTCTGCTAAGGGAGAACATGGCACTCCCCCAAGAACATTGATTCGTACGAAAGCTTGACAATCTGGATTAGGCTTCGCGACTGAGAAGATTTTGCTCAACTACGCTTGTAACAGTCATCGTTGCTTACACTTTAACATCAAGCTGCGAAGAACAGGAGCTGGAAGCATTTTATAAGGACCTCGATGAGGACCACACCTTCTGCAAGGTCGTTGTCAACGCCAAAACTTCTCTAGAAGAACAGCTGAGGGGATCCATAAAGGAACTTACGCTATGGAATAGAATGAGCAGGATAAAGTTGCCCGAGTTTATCGTGTCCACTCATACAGTCCACATTAATTCGCTGTTCTAGAAGCTCTCTCAAGTGTGGCAGAGATTTGAGTCACCTGGTGGAAACTTTCATAATGAAATATCGTATACGTCCGTGGAGAAGTTAATCAGAGAGAGCTGCACTTTTATCGAGGTCATCGCCTGTGATTTCCACTACAAGATTGGTTACAAAAGAACGGTTGATGTGCTATATTACTTCTAAACCTATGGAAGTAAAGTTTATGGGAAACGGATTAGTACCTGACGCCCTCTTCAGCTGACCAGAACAAATTTTTCTGAATGCTCCAGTTAGTTTGAGAATTAGATATGACGAACCATCTAACTCCGGAGCTGAGCAAAAGCAAACGCTTGGCGAGAGAACCATTTAGGAACATCGGGGGAGTTTTAAAGGAGTCAAAGAACATTAGGTTTCGCGCTGACCTCTTGGACCCCTCTGTCCTCCCTGCTTTGAGTTAGTAATTAGAGACACGGAAGAAGAATGAACAGGATGTCATTCAACGCGTTGTGGAAAGGTCTATGCTTAAGTCACTCGAGCAAAACAATGAATGATGTAACAACAGGAGACATAGGTGATACTTCCTGCACAACCTCACTTGCATCACCTGACGTCCCGACGATCATCGACTCCCTCGAGCGGACGCCACTAATGTTTCCATTCGTTCCTGTAGCGAGCCAGAGTGGTACTTGTATCTTCCTTGCTCCAAGGACACAAGGTTCAACATTCCTTTCGTTCAGGGCTTACATGAAGAAGAAGTCTGACCATCTCGTTGGCCGCCGTCCTGGAGTTCGTTCGATGTCCCGATGGATCCAATCAGTAACCGCCCTGGTCCAGAGAACATCACTATATCGCATAACGTGTCCGGCCCACCTGATCTTCGATTTCTTGTCGTAATGAACGGCATCCCTCATCTTCGTTCGTTGACCGAGCTCAGAACTCCGGTTTTCCTTCTGCAGTTGCGTGTATAGAGAAATTCCGAACATTGTCCTTTCTGAAGCGCGTTGAGTAACGCTGACAGCATGCTCATCCTGCTCTTGTAGAGTCCAAGTCTACGTCAAAGCAGGAAGGACAGTAGTGTCGAAAAGGTGAGCGCGGAGCCGGATATTCTTTTTCTTCTTCCCTACTCCCTCGATATTCTTTGATG